AGGGACTGCTATGTTTTGAAATATACAAAAGAGAAGCACATTTTAGTATTGAGTACCAGAGAGTTCCATAGGTCTCAACAACGCCCCCACTTAATTTAGTTCAACCAATTCAATAATACTGAAAACCCATGCTACTTATTTAGACTGTGAACACTGTGTACAGATCTGGCCATGTCCCTCTGTACTGCTGCATAGGCTAAGTACAGTTCCCTCACCTGCAGTTGGTTTTGCACCTTTTTGAATCATATCTTCAATAGCTAACTGTGACTTCTCAATATTTTGCAGACTGTTATCAAAGCTTTTCATTGTTTCAAGGATTTCATCTAATTTCAAGTGCATCTGTGCTGTCACAGCATTGGTCGCAGTGTCTATTAAAGAACCATGTACTTGTTCTATCGATACAGGGGTATTTAAACTTACTAAATTTTTTTCAGCTAATAGATCAGATGAGTTCTTTTTTAGATCAAATGCGTTTCCATCACAGGCTTGTGGGGATGAACTTTTAATTTCAATGTCCTCCAATGTTTGTCCTGTATTCAGTGCAACAGAATTCAAACTGCTTTCTCCAGTTGACGCTTGATTGTCTGTCCTGTCTAGGCCTGGGCGGTATTTTCAAACTCAATATCAATATCAATATAAAAAGTTATTGAGATTGACCTCAATATATTGGCTAAATAATATTATTGAGATATTGAGAGGTCAATATACCGTCATCTCAATATTTATATTGAGAGGTCAATAACTTAACCTCAATAATAATATTGAAATATTTAGTCAATACATCGCAAACGCGATATTTATATTGAGAGGTCAATATAGCGTTAGCGCAATTATATTCAAGTCCAACACCAGTATAATAAGTTCAAATATGACGTCGAACACCGTAAGAAACAGGACTGACTCAAATCGAGAGGAGATAAAATAACAAAAGAGTAGTGGATTAGAGTATTTAATTCAAATCTGATGTCAAATTAACAGCATTTATACTGGAAGGGGGCAATGAGCCTGATTTTGTGAGATGAAAATTAGCATCTCAGCGTTCAGTCCAGTGAGAGACGTTCTGGTGTCGATTATGACGTTTCCCCCGGTGCTAAACAATCGCTCCGAAGGTACACTTGAAGCTGGAATAATCAGGTACTTTCGTGCTAGCCGCGAAAGTAGCGGAAGTGACCCACTATGACCCTGCCACCATTTAAAGGGATCCTCAGTAAGTTCAGCATCAGGGAGCCCCTCGTAGAGTAACAACTCCTTAGCAAAGGCTTTTTTGGCTGCGTCTTTTGGGTCAGATTCGATGGCGGCCTCCTGCTGCCCCTGATGCTCTTGGCGTCTTCTCTTAAATAGGCTCATAACGGCAGAAGCCGCTGATAACACAGCTGAAATCAAACAAAAGAAAATTGTTTCAGTCTTAACAAGGACAGACAGCAGATCACACAGCTGAGACTAATTACTTACCTGTATTTTGGTTCTGTTGTGTGGTTCCACGGTTCTCTGCACGGTTTGGAGGAGCAGCTGAGTCCACAGTTTCTTCCATGAGACCAGTTTTGGCCAATGTACAATCGGCCTCCAATATTTGGGACCGAAAGCGGGGGTCAAGAAATGAGACTCGGCAAAGAACCGTATTGCACGCAGCTGCGCGTTCAAACTCAATGGCTGCCCGAGTGTCATCATCAGGTGGAAGGGGCGGGTTGTACCGCTTCTTGAGCTTTTCAGATATGGCCCTATGTATGGCCTTTGGTTGCAGGGCGGCGTAATCAGAAAGGGGTATATCATCATCATCTTCCCCCTCTTGACCTTGGTCCATTTCTTCTTCATTTTCCTAGAACATAATTAAAACATATTTAATTCATTGAATTTCGATAAATTATGGCGAAAGGAAAGTAACGATCACTACGCGGTGCGGTGCCCAGCGCGGCGGCCAGTATCGGCCGCGGCGTGTCGTTCTGCTATGTGCCGGGGGTCTTCTTACCTCTGTTACCCATTGTAGGGTGGTGAACGCATTGAGAGCCAAGTCCTCCCCACCATAAAATGAACTCTCAGGATCCAAGATATAGGTCATTGGCAGCACCATACTGCATGTTACATATCTTTCCGCACAGAGTAATGACGATATCTTTTCAACAGGTTTGAGGGCCTTCACGTATGCTTTCAAGACTGAGATATTTTCTCTGCTTGGAATTTCACCTAAGAATTTTCCTGTCGAAACCATAAAAATATTTTCAATTATATTACATAAATACTGTAATTTTTTATTAGAGGTGTACTTTGGTCATTAACTTACCCAATCTGTATGATGTGACAAAACCCCACATCCACCTGTACTGCCCAACAACTGCTTCGGCTATGTGCAAGTCGACCCACCAACGGGTCTTGCATGGAGATGGTAGCATTTTAGGTGTCTTGTTATGCATCTCTAGAACATACTTCACATATGCCCTCCAAACTTTATCAGAGGACAGCCAGGATCGCGCAGAGTGAGCTTTGGCAAGACTTTCCTGAAGTCCTTGGCATGTAGATATGACACCAGAAACCCCATTATTAATAGTGTGGCCAAAGCACCGCATGTGATTTGGGGGATTATCCAGCAATTCTAGCGCAAGACGAATATTTTCACCATTGTCCGACGTTACTGCTGAAACTTTGTGCGGTGGGATTCCCCACTCTTCCATCATTTCATTAAATACTTGTTTGATGTACTGGCCTGAGTGGTCCTCGGTCATCATTTTGCAGCAGAGAGTAACCTCAACTAATGACCAAAATTCATCCAGAAATAGTGCCGTGAGAGACATGTAGGCATCATGTGCAGCTGAGGTCCAGATGTCAGTTGTTAAGGCCACAAACTCAGACTGCTTAAGTAACGTCGATACGTTTTCTCTAGTAGCCTAAAAAATTAGTACAAAGAATAGAATTATTTTAAACACGGTAAAAATTGACAAGAGTTGTCCTAGAACCGTGTGAAACAAAGCCGCGGGTTAAGTTTGTCCCTCCGCCCGGCGTCATGGTGCCTGCATGCAAACATGTTGACACCAACGTCTTCTCTGTCAAATTTTACACACCTGGTAGAGTTTGGGAATGTATGTCCCGGCCAAGGTCCTCCGTGACATCAACTTGTAGCGCGGATTGAGCGTGCGGCACAGGATTCGAAAGCCCGATTTTTCAACTGTCTTTAGTGGACGCATACAAGTAGATATATAGTAGCTGACAGCCATATGACATTTTTCCTGTGTCTTCTTATCCATTGGCTTGTATTCATCCATTTTCACTTGCCTAGTTGGGGGTCTAAACGGAAAATACAAATTTTTAGATCCAGGTGGGAAATGTACCCCCCCCCCCCTCGTGGGGGACCAACGTGCATGCATCAACAGCAAAAAATACCCTAACCACTTCTAGCTGTTACCCTTGCTCACCTGGATAGAGGCGAAGGTGGTGGTGACATGGTCGGCTCTGGTGTTGCTGCCTTAGAGCTAGAAGGCGATGCTGGCGCACCATTAATTTCACTCAAATCGTCTTCCATATCCGAATGATTAGCTTCACTTTGCTTCTTGTTTTGCAACATTAACTTCTTTACTGCTGCATACTCTACAGGATGCTTCGATTTCAAGTGGCTGAGAGCATTAGTTGTCCCCCCGTTACTGCACGTCACGCAGGGCTTCTCGCATCCTCGGATGGCACACTTCGCCTTTTGGCGATCAGCCGGGTCAGTATCTTTAAAATATTTCCACACTGGCGCCCCACGCTTAGCGACAAACATGCTGAGACTGACGCGAAGGCTACGAAAGCCGCGAACACCGCGAACGCGTGCGCGTGCTGGTCGGCAGCGCGGCCGTGCTCGTACTGCCCGTAGTGCCCGTCCCGTGCAGGCCGGCCCCAAGCACAACAAAACGTCAACGACGGCGGCGCCGCACTTCTGTGACTGTGACTCACTGTGACTAAGGAAGCTGTCGCCTGCCCTGCCCCCTGCCCCCTGCCCTGCGCCGGCGGGCGGCGGTCAAGCCTCCAAAGGGACTGCTGACCTGCTACAGTTTTATCGTCGGTGTTCGGTGCGGCATGCGTCCCGGCCGCCGGCCGCCGGCTGGCGCTGGCGTGAGGCCGGATGTTATGGTCTGGCGTCAGCTTCCCAGTGTTCGTCAAACCTCAATAATATTGACCTCAATATTAGATATTGACCTCAATACCTCAATATTTATATTAAGGTCAATACTTAATATGATGCATAAAGTGAAAACCTCAATATGAATATTAAGATGTCAATATTAAATAGCTCAATATGAAATATCGAGATATTGAGGTGCCGAATATTGACCACCTCAATAGGTTGTATATTGACCCCTCAATATAAAAA